GTAGCTCTAGAGAATTCAAAACGATTTATAAATAAAACAATATTGTCATCAGGAAAAAATGATAAATTAAAATTTTATTTAATTTTTTTAACACTAGAAATCTTACAACATTAAATGATCAATCAACACCTGAAGTAATAACAATCAATAATGATTATTGTCTTATTGATGCAAAAACACTTAAACGTCGACCATTTCATCGTGCAGGTTTCTTTTTATATAAACCTTGTTCATTTCGTTCAACAAGACAAGTATGTTAAATTTTTGTTAAATAATAAAAGTCTTTCTTTTTATTTCCTTATTAATCATTTGTTTAGAATCATAAACGAATAACACTTGAACAATATAATCGTTTTAGAAAATTTTATCAAGATTGGTCATTAAAACATATATCCGATAATGATAATAATGATTCAATAAATGATCTTTGGCTTAAAGCACATCGATTTAATAATAATAATGATCAACAACCTTTAATTGTTCAATCAACTATTTCAAATGATGATAATGATCTTCTACAACCACCATATCATCATTATCAACGATATCATATTGTTGATACAGACAAATAAATAAATAAAAAAAATCTATTTTTGTTTCTCGTTCAATCATATGTCTATACTTATTTTCTGTTTTACTTTCAGTCATTGTGTGTGTATTACAGACATATAAATGCTTCTATTTGATGTTCTATTTTGTTTTGTTTCTTGTCGTATATAACATATGTGTGTACAGGATGGATTATAGAAAACTATTCAAAAGAAACAAATCGTCAATTTATACGATTCGTTAACAAATGTCATCTTTATTCTATTGTGTTTTTTGTTAAATTTTCTTTGTTTATTGAACGTGATCTTTATTCTTTGTATTTTATGATATAAATATATGGATGAGAACATAATAATTTCTTTTATTCCCTTTTATGAAATAAAGGGTCTTACGAAGAAAATTAGTTTGAAATATTTTCAATGTGTGTATAAGTCTACCAGGCGGAAAAATGAGAACAATAAAAAAATATTAAAATATATAAAAAAAAAAGAATGATGTTGATTGTTTGTTCATGTCAATTCTATGATGAATATTGAAGAGAAGCTTGACGACTCAAACTCATATATTCAGAATAAACAACAAAGGTCTTCTAGACGATCGGGACGAAATAAAACAAGGAACACAAACAAAAACGATTACGTTTTGATCGAGAAAGAAAAAGAAAATATGAAACGATTGAGCAAAGAGAATGTTGTTTGGAAACTATTCGTAGATGCATGGCCAAAAGACTTCCTAAAGAAACTGACGATGAATATTGCATCCGACTTCGATGAAATCATGAATGTACGGCTAATAGTTGTGCGAAGAAAAATTATAACAATAAATGCAAAATAAATAGTCAAGCAGACGAAAGTAAAATAGAACGACTGTCACTTTTCATTAAGGTTGATATTAGATTTTTAAAAACTATGAAATTGAAAATAAATTTTAGAAGAATTCTTGCAAAGACAAAACACACCTTGGTATGAATGATTGTTTATGTAGCGATGATGAAATACAGATTAAACGTATAAAAGCTGAAGAAGAAAGAGCATCAATCACATCGATAGATGATAAAGTAAATCCATGTTGTGATAAACTGTAAACAAGTATAGATGATTTTCAATGGAAATAGGTAAAAGATAACCATATGTTTAAATCAAATACAGAATGGCCGACAAAGATATCAAATAAAGTCAAAGATCGGTGCCTACACAATTTCATAAAAACTACCTCTATGAATTCCTTGAAACATGAAACTTGTTGTATATGTTACTGTAATACGTACACAACTAATCTGATTGTATGCAAAATTAGTGACATCTCCAATCAATATTTGTTAGAGCCACATCCAGATCTCATAAATGGCATACCTGGATTTCGAATGAAGTCATCCTTATGTTCGAATATGCAAATAAATGCATCAGAAAGATATAATAGTGAGTAAGACAATATTTTTATCTGGATAAAATGAACAGATTCAATTCAGAAAATTATATACTTACTACGAGTTATATTCGTTACAACAATATATTATTATATCGACAAGGATTGAAAAGAAACAAAAATAAGCAGATTGATGAAACAATTGAAATGATAATTGACAAATGGTGTAACATGGATTTAAAGAAAAACAGAATCCCACGTTACTCTGCTAGTAACATAATGTGGATCGGTGATATTTCGGCAGAATTAAAAAATCTCACAATATTAGAATTACGGCTTACCGCAAGGTACCGACATAATAGTTGTATTATAAAATTGAAATCAATATTTCATGATTCCGTGAGTACTCAATCAGCGCTCAAGGAAAATGTCATCACGTTTGCTCAATATTTATCTAAAATTGTATCAACATTACCTTTATCCATAACCGACTTATGTAGTGAGATCAAAGTTATCCTTGTTGGTGTAGAGCTAAAAGTTTGTAGTAAATTGTACTGGTTTTAATTAGCCGTTTTTTATTGTCAATATAGCCATCAAAACGATATGATTTGCGAAAAATTCTCACTGTTCGAAGAGAAAAGGTCTTTACTGCACTATTATGGTTGAAAAACCACAATCATTAATATCAAGACATTGTGAGTTAATACTTTGCTTCAAGATGATATAAGTGACATTCTTGATCATTGATATATCAAATCAGTTTGAAAAACGTCAATGATGTGTCAGAAGATGATGTGTCTGAGTCATTATGAAGTACAATTTACCATTTGACAGATGTTAAGAACGCTGAAATCGAAGGATCGGATTATATTCTAGAAAATGGAATATATAACAAAGACTTATTAAACAGATGTGCTAATTTTAATGTAACTTCTCTGATGACAAGCGGTGTCTTGGACATAAATTGTTCTGATATATCATCATGCGATATCAGAAATCATTTATCATCTCGAATGTGTTTGAATCAAGAAGGTATGATTGGCTCTATTCGGTTTCATAGATCGTGTATGTATTTATTAATGTATATTTGTGTGGCTAAAACATTTCAGTGAAATCAAAGAAGCTTTCATGTAATAATGTTAAAGATCAAGTTTATGCAATAACCCGAGAAGCTAAATCTGTGAATGAATATGCCAATCCAACACATTTTATAGGTTTATATCAGGATCTTTTTCCATATGGATACAGCGCTATCGAAGATACAACGAGACCGATCAGTATTGGATATAAAGAACATGTTCAATATTTGTTGTTAGTTAAAGATAAGAGATTTGAGACAAGTCATTCGTTTTTATATGTTGTCTTTAACATTTTACAAAAGCGAAATGCATGTTACAGTGCACGATTGATAGTATCAAGACCTTATTTCATCAGTACGGCAGAAAAGATTGAGCGCTCTTACACAAAGCGAAACACAGTTTGCATTAAAAAACATTGAAATTAGAAGATATTAATCAGGTGAAAATGAACGTCTTGACACACTTCTTAAACAAACACATGCCGTTGGTGGCGATGTTGTGGGACCTCAACAGTCACGAGCACTACTTTCAGTCGAAATTCATTCATTTATAAAATAATATTGGTCTTCCAAGTATATTTATTACTATAAACCCGACTGGTGTTCATCATCCTGTAAGTCAGTTAATCGCTGTTCCTTTCGATAATTGGGTGGTTAGATTGTTATGTATTTGGCGGGTGTAAACCTGAAATTGGATAAAATACTTGCTGATGAATACCCATCGAGATATGATCATGCACAACTGGTTGCAACACATCCAGTCGCTATTGCAAAATTCTTTGATAAATTAATTCAAACAATCATCGATATTCTCAGTAATAAAAAGTTGTTTTGTCTTACTCAAAGAATAATATTTAGTTGTCGGAGGTGTTCTGGGACCAGCTATTAGTTACTACGGTACAGTAGAAAATCAAGGACGCGGATCGCTTCATCCTCATGTGTTACTTTGGCTGAATCACAATATGACGCCATCACAACTTAGATCAAGGATTAAAGATGAAAATTTCCGTAAAAATATAATTAGTTATCTTGAAAATATTATTAAAGAAGATTTAAGTTGGATTAATCCTGCTTTTGAGCATCTAATTTCAGTATCAAGTAAGATATTGATATAGTTACGTGGTATATTTGTACTATCGTACAATTCTTAGATAAATCAATAACAAAAACCTTGAATGCGGCATGTTTAACGATGCCCAGCCCAAAAATGTTTAATTTTGACTATCATTTTCAGTGAGATATGAGTCAACTGGTTATGAAAAATAACATTCACAAGCATTCTTCAACTTGTTATAAATATTCGAAATCGACGATGAAAAATCCGATTTGCCAAATGCAAATGCCGAGACATATTTATGAACGATCAAGTATTGATCCTGAAAATTGATTGATAACTATGAGTAGGCTATACAACAGAGCAAAGTAATTATTTTGTGATCTTGTATTACATATAGAACGCTTGCATCCATTTATTAATAATTATAACGAATATATAATTTCCGCATGTAGATGTTATATGGATATTAAATATATATATGGACTGGTTCTGATGCGAAGGCGTTGGTCTATTACGTGAGTAGTTTATGTATGATATCTGCTTTAGTTGTGCGTATTTTAAGATCACGGATTACATAACTAAATCGAGTTTATCACTTTATGATATGGTTTTATTAATTCATAAGGGTTACCTGTCTGCAGAAAAGTACGATAATGATATTGATAACAGTAATATTGTTGAGAAATCACGCAAGTTTATTCTACGTTGCTATAATATGATTACATCCCAACAAGAATTATCTGACATTCAAGTGGTAATGCATATCGTTGGATGGCCCGATCATTATACTTCACGCAAATTCAGTAAAGTATGTTTGATTAGTGTTGAGCGATATCTACAGAAATGCCTGGATGATGCATGAATGAAAGAAAAGGAAACCCATGTACGATTAACATGTAAGATTAGGTTTTCTATTAAATAACATTAATATCTATAACTTATAAAGGTGATATGGAATCAACAATATTCGGATCAGTTAGTAATTGCATTGAAGATAAAGAAAATACAAAACATAATTTATCGGATGAAGATAAAGGTGAGCAAGAATACTTTTATAGTGGAAAAATGTGATGAACAAAGAGATTATGCATTAGTAAACATTCGAATTGATTGTCAACATCGAGGAATGGCATTGAATCATATTTGTTTATATGAATATGTAAGTCAAATGTATAAGACGAAGATAGAATCAGCTGATCTTCAATATTTAAACAAACCTAATAATTCCTAACAAAGACAGGTATAATGATTAATCTTTTTGATATCATTTACTAAATTATATTAGAATTCTGTTGGAGGTCCATTGAACAAATGATATATGTTTGACAATGATCATTCACTAGTACAATCTCATTTGAAAATGTATTGGAGTACTTCTCGAATTCCAGTTTTGGTTGGTCCGCAAATACTTTGTAGTGAAAGAAATGATACATGTGAACAATATTGTCGAGCCATTCTAACACTATTTCGACCATGGCATACTTTTGATGACTTATGTCATATTCATCAAACGTGGAGCGATGCATTATTGCAATATGAGAAAAATTTTACTGAAGAATCGAAGCACATTATTTAGAATGTAGAATTATTACATGAATGTAAAAGTCATCGAGACGAGCTTTTGCTACAAGTTATTGTTGATGAAGGAAAAATTGACTGTGATGAAATGAAACATCAACAAACAAATTTTGTGGAAGAATTCAATGCTGATTTAGATGTCAACAATAATTTGCTGCATTTCATTGATTTGCAAGATGAAATGAATGATGATCATCAGAATAGCATTGGCTCAACTAAAGCAGAAGATCTTTATATTGAAAATACAATAAACAGCATAGTGAAAACTCAACGATTCGTGCCATTATCAAAAGAAAAAGGAAATATTGATCTCAACATTGAAAATGGTTTTAACCTGATTACTAATAGAAAAGACTTATCGAGGTCATATTTTATTCAAGCCACGGAAACAGATGTTCTTCCCAACTCAAAATGGCAGCAAATTATTAAGGAAGCAAAACTTAAAGCGAGAGAAGCTATATTGGATGGTGTTGAGAACTTAGATATTGTAAATATTAGTATTTCAAAATCTCTTGAAGATAATGCATCAACACCCATCAATATGGAAATTAATCACATGAAAAAGTTCGACGAAAAACGTTAGTGTAAAAGTAATAGGAAAGCTTAGTGTGAATTGTTGTCCTCTAGAAATGTCACATGATTTTAAACTCAATGATGAGCAACATCGAGCTTTCATGATCATTACCAGTCATTTGGATGGAAGAAGTCATTTAAAAGAAGGTTCAATTCCATAATTGTAATTCTATAGATTTTTTTGTTGCCTTTAATCCTAGGCAATTTTCAAAAACAATTGCTTATGTTTGTTCTTAGTACTGAAGCACTGGCAAATCACAGGTTATTCTTGCAGTGACTAAATATTTCTTCATTACAAATAGGGGTGCAACAAATCTTGAATAGATTTGGGATTTGGCACCAAATCTTTGAGATTTGGACTTGGATTTGGATTTGGTTTCTGGATTTGGGTATGGTTCGGATTTAGTTCCTAGATGTGGATTTCATCTAGATTTGAATCTCAGAATTGTTGCTATCGCTTTGTTTGGCTGAGATTTGGGATTCAGAATTGGTGATATGCTTGAAATTTGGGATTTGGATTTGGACTTGGATTTGGGTTTGGGTCTTAGATTTGGATTTGGGCTTGGGATTTGGTTTCAATCTAACATGACTCCAACTTTGTAGTCTTGTTAAATTGAAACCAAATCTCAACCTCCAAATCCAAATCCCAAACCCAAATCCTACCCAAATCCCAACCTGCTATACACCAAATCTCATAGCCAAATCTAAGATCCAAATCCAAATCCCAAAACCCAAATCTATACCAAATCCAATCCATTTCATATTAATTTATAAGACTTGGGATTCTTTTCTCCCTTCTGGGACTTTATTTTACAAAGTCTCGTCATATTTGGGTAATTTAAGACCAAACCCAAACCCAAATCCAAATCCAAATCCCAGCCTAGAATAAACCCAAATTTTTTTGTACCAAATCCCAAGGCTTTGGGTTTGTTGCACCCCTAATTACAAATCTCAGGTGAGAATTTCTAGAGTTATATGAACTATTATATTAGTATGATTTAATAGTAAGAAGCTTCGAAAATTAGCTACAACATCAATAGCTGTATCAATTGTTGGTGAATTGACATTGCATTCATTTTTGACTAGGCTAACCAAGGGCTCAAAAAATAGAAGAGATAGTCAAAGTCGAACCAATATCAAAGCTATAGAAGATGATTGGCTTCATGTGGAATACCTCGTTATCGATGTAAGCTGGATAATCATTGATTACCACTTTCGTTATAGAATACTATAGGACATGTCTATGGTTGGCTTACATATGTTATCTTAATTACAAATACTTCTAATGATTGCTAAACATACGGATGCATCTGTACCATTCGGAAACATTAATGTGATGTTTTCAGGTGACTTTTTACAATTTGCACCTGTACGTAATATGGCTCTCTACAGTGACGTAATTTCGCCAATAACTGACACAAATGATTCCGAAAAACAAATTAAAGACAAGAATACTCAACGTCAGATTCAATATCGAGTTGAAAGAGCGTTATGGACACACGTGAATACTGTCGTAACATTAACAAGACAAATGCGAGTTGAGGATCCGGATTTTCTTGCAATTCAAAATCATATTCATTTCGGTAATGGTACAGTCGAAGATCATAAAAAACTTTGTACACGTATCGTTAGTCCTCTCAATGATTTAAAAAATTTGAATGATATGGAACGGAAAAAAAGCTGTCATGCTTGTGTGTCGCAATTATTTAAGAACGAGATTAAACAATGTCTGTAATTTGCATGGCTGAGGAAATAGTTGAATAACCCATTGCCTGTGTAGCAAGGGATACGATATATGGAGAATCCGTAAGTAAACACAAATTTATTAAGCATTTATTGAAACTATCCGATAACAAAATAAAAGGCTTGCCTAGCTATTTTCCATTAGTTCAAGGTTTGGTTGGTATTTTCCCAATGGTTTTATATTTATTTTAAGAGTAATATTAGGCATGGAAGTGATTTTGACCGACAATATTACAACGTAACTTTATCTTGCTAATGGGATGACCGACATTTGTCACAAACTAATTTACAAAAAACAATGACGTTGATTATTTTGTTATACAAAATCATGGTTTCCCCAGTGGAGAAAAATACGTTACCGATCCTATATTTGCATTAATTGAAATTCCAGATATAAAGATTAATATTAATCTTGAGAATTTATCAATGAAACTCATTCCAATCGCTGCTACAAGCAAGACTTTTAATGCCGATATAAGCTGTAAGTTATATCATAGAAGAAAAGAAAATAATACTGTAATAGTTTTATATATTTTAGCTCGATTGTCAAATACATTCCTGAAATTGAAAAGAAAGAAATCAATCATTCCAGTGAAACGTGTTCAATTACGTTTTGTATCGGTATTGGCATTTACCACCCATCAATGTCAAGGCAAAACTTTTGATAGAATTCTTATCGATCTAATATTTTCACCAGAACGTAGAAGAAACGAAGTAGCACTTCCATATGTACCAATATCACATTGTAAGTGGCTTGTTGATCTAGCCTTTTTGCGTGATTTTCCATTATTATCCATTCAAATAAAACCTACTCAAGCACAACTAGATGGTATTCGAGTTTCGACTCGAATACGAAATGCGGTGCGAAGCACGAATCTCTCGAATTTTTGAAAAAACGATATTTCTTAATAAACGAGAATTCGATTTACTAAATTATAGTGATCGCTGTTTTTTACTACAATTAGCTACATATTCCGTAAGATAGACACTTTTCGTCACCTTTATCCAGGAGCTCATCTCATCTAGATTCGAAACGAAAGCCGTCCATTATAAAATTCATCACTACAGAAACTCTATGGCAGTCTCTCAACAGATTTCTATGAGTTGTTTCCTATTGATCAATTAATTATGTCAATGATTCATTAGCTACTATCAGCTGTAATTCACAGCTGTTTCCAATATATAAGTAAAGAAATTGGCGCCTAACTTTTCTTATGAATTTTCGTTTTAATTATCTGAACAGTGAACTTTGTCAAAATCGTAATTTTGGAGCTACGATTGTAGACGAACTATAGGTTCTGTAGATGATCTGACCAAAAAAGGTACGAGTTCGATCTCGATACTTGTACTTCACGTTTGAACGAGTATTTTCTGACTTTCCGTTCTCGAGATCATTCGAACGGAAAATGACCACTTTGATGCGTACGTCGAGTAAGTAAAAGAAAAAAAAAAAGAAAAAAAAAAAAAACTCGCGCACGACTACATAAATGCTGTGCTTCGCACCGCATTAATTATCTGAACTTGTTCGTTTAAATACTATTAATGATATTACTAAAGATTTGTTTATTGATTATAATAGTCAATTTTGTAAAATACCAAATGTGGATGTGGTTGGGGTGTGGGTGTGTGGGGTGGGTATGAATAAAGTGAGCATCAACACCCACCATCCCTCCCATCCATCCCCCACACCGACACCCTCCTTCCCATCCATCCCCCACACCCACACCCTCCCTCCCATCCATCCTCCACACCCACACCCTCCCTCCCTCCGGCCTACCCACTCACACCCTCCTCCCCTTTACAGACGTAACAGACATCTTAGTAGTGGCTCATCACAGACGAGACAGACACCCTTAGCAACGCTTTCTCTCCGTCACAGACCGTGACTGACACCTGAGTTCTCCCCGTTCAAAATGTCAGCAGCCCCGTCGTATTTCACATTTTAATCCCGCATGAATTGTGCTAAAAACTTTTATGTAAGGTGAATACCATGTTCGAAATAAATATTAAAAAACGCTCAAAAACAAGGGAAAAACAGCTGATTCTATGATTTCAAGAGTCCATTGATTCCAAATGAAATTTACATACTTCCAATGACTCGAACGCTACAGAATCAGCTGTTTCTCCCTTGATCTGATGGCTATATACATTCGACAAAGAAACTATTGGTATTGAAATGACAACAATTTCTTGAAAGTCGTTGCAACGCATGCATCGGTCAGAGATGTTCATGACGGCGCGGTAACGGTAGTTTTTTTAAATAATTATTGAGGCAGCGACGCGATAGCGTTAGGTTTTTTTTTGGAGAACAATGCAAAAAATGCAGGAATTCGAACAGAAATTCATTGTTCGCAAGTGCAAAATTATGAAATTCGACGAATCTTATCGATTGGTAACAACAGTTCTAGTTCTGAACAGTCACAGATTGTAAAATTCACAACATTATTGCAATAACCATTGCGGCAGTGTCGCGGTAGGGTTTCTGTTTTTATCACCGCGGCGCAGTAGCGGCGCGTTAGCTTTTTTTCTTTGATTGTCGTAGCGCGGCAGCGGTCAGTTTTCAACCGCGATGGACATCTCTGGCATCGGTTATCTAGCTGCTGTGTACCATCTATTGGTATTATCCACACGGCAATGTTTCTCTGTACGCGTACGCATTTCTTCGAATAAAAAACAAACTGACTCTATTCCCATTTAGGCCATTAATATTCAACAATAAAAAAACTTTATTTACTATGTGTTTTCGATATATCTGAGGCTCTTCCATATTTCTTGATAATTAGGATTTTTTTTCAGTAAAAATATCATTTTTAAAATAAGAAAAAAAATTACTTTAAAAAATGTAACAAAAGATTTCATAGGATATTTTTCCACAGTAATAATACAAATTATTATTCGCTTAAAATAAGAATATAGAATTTGCTTTTTGATAATCAATGAAATAATCTCACAGACTAAGCAAAGCTTTAATTATTATTATCATTATTTAATTTGTTTTAAGATATATATGAAGTTTATAGAAGCAAAATGAAAATATTCGTATGTTATTATTTGAAGGGATATTTGACGGAGGGTGGTGTTGGTGTGAGTCGGGATGCGTCATAAAGATATTAGCCATCTACACGCACCTACACCATCAAGCTATTTTGATATAAGTGCTTATATTAAAATAGACCAAAAGAATAATGGGAAATAACATTATAGAAACACATCAAAAAACGAATCACTTGCCTGACGATGACCGATGTGTAAGGTTGAAAATTCGCAATTTTCTTGTTTTTGTTATTTGTCACGTTTCAATGAAAAGAACAAAATGATTTTTACAGTAGTTCTATACTTCATTTTCTCAAAATTAAATGCTACTGCTCGAAAAACTGGTTGGGGTGGGTGTGGGTGTTGATATTCACTTTATTCACAGCCACACCCCAAAGTATCTTTTTTTTTCTACACGATGAAGCATTTAAATTAACTCCAAATAATAGTTTGAATAACCAATCAAGTTCTTTATAAATATCAAAATTTCTTCGATGAACTCTGAGTGAAGAGTTTTTGAAAAACCGCATACGATAGTTTTCAGATCCCAAAAGATTGTAAAAATTAGTTGATAAGTACCATTTGATAGTATACAAAACCCTGAACAAAATGAGAAACAATTGCATGTCTTACGAACTTTTCTTAAAAAATTGTAACCATTACAAAAAACAAAAAAATGCATTTTTCAGAACTGCTATGATGAATTTCGCTTTGTAATACTTATAACTTTTTTTGGCGAAAATAATAAGCAATGCAGTGATCTTTCAAAACACTATTTGGATTTGAGTTATAGGTTAGGTACCATAGACAAACAAATCAAAAATACGTTGGCCTTATATGTCTGAACTGTACAATATACTGGTGTACATTAGTGTAGAGTAGATGCAATTTTGATCTTTGTTCTCAATGGTAATAGCTAGAAAGAATCTGAAAAAACACTGAAGTAGCTACAAATGCTTTCTATCAGGATTTTCGAACTCAAAAACTCTAATAAATTTTCTTACATAAAAATGTCTGGATAAGAAAGATCCCTGTAACCAATTTTTCGGCATCTACTCGAAGCTTTACAGAAATGACTTTATTTGATGGAGCAATATGAGATGTTTCGGCTCTCTTCATGACCATCTTTCATCGAACTGTATTCAATTTATAGACGGTCACAAAGTGTCAACGACCGCGAAACCAATGAAATTTTGCATGAAAACAAAAGAAAAAACCCTTCTTGGATTTTCTATAAATTGAATGTCATTCGATGAAGGAACGTCATGAAGAGAGCAGAGACATTTCGCTTGGCTCAGAATTACTTGTTCTATCCAATAAAACCATGTCCAACAAACTTCAAATGAATGCTAGAAAATTGGTTTTGGAAATGTTGGATTTTCAGATACCCTGATGCAAGATAATTTATTAGGTTGTTTTAGATCCACGAGACCAGATAGAGAATCCATTCAACTATTAAAATATTTTTTCAGATATTTCTTGGCTATAAACATAGGAAAGAAAACTGAAGAATACGACTGGTGTAAACTTTTATGTGTGACTACAGTTTATGTTAATAACAATTATGTTTAGGCTATCTAAATATTTCGAAACACTGTAAATAGTAATCTGTACAAATTTAATTGTAAAAGCATATTACATTATTAAAAAGAAAGGACAAATTTTTCTATGACTTTTAAATGATGGAATTTTATGAAAAAAAAAACATAATGACTAATACAATGAATCATATTTTTATTATAACTTTTCTAGATAACAGAAGACGTTAGTTTACTGTTTTGCATCGAGTCTAATGTGTTATTGGCAATGACAACATATAGTGATAATCAACGAAAGCATAGCAACATTTCTTTATCACATTGCCAACGATAATGGTGTCTACTCTAATGATTTATAAACGCTTTAGCAGCTCGAATATTTTTATTAGATTGATATATCAATTATAAATAGAATGGCGTG